TTGACAACAGTGCATCCTTGTCCTTCTCTATACAGAATGAAAAGGTGAGACTGACCTTAAATTTAGTTTTAAGTTTAGAGAATCACGCCAGAATTGACACCAATGTATCCTAGTCATTCTCAATACAGGACGAGAAGTAGAGACTGATATTAAATTTAGTTTTAAGTTTCAGACCACGCCAGAATCGACACCAATATAATACTTTACTTGCACTAGTAGTTTAAACGCAATAAATTTAACAAAGACTTAAAAACCCCTTGTTTTTTGTTTACTGTCCCAATCTGTAACCCTAAATCCCGACTTTTTTGACCTCATGTACGGATTTAAAACAAATCGGACCTGGCAACACTACGTGTAAGGGAGCAGAAACCACCTACGGTAAGAACAAGAGCAGCGGCTGGGGATAGTCACTTACTACCAGTTTGCTTCTTGTCGCTGACCGTTACAAAATGTGCCACAGGCCAATCACAGGCACAAAACACAAACTCAAAAATCATTTATTCAATCTAGGCTGTTACAAGCACTTGTAAAAGTCGAGAAGCTACGCCAACGGTTCGCAAAACAACGGCGAGAAGTACTGAGAAGAACCGGCAAAGAACTCAGCGAGGGTTGTTTTATGGCATTTTTCTCTCTGTATTATTATTATATATAGAATCGTCTAGTTGAAAAATAAATACAGAGATACTTCTGAAGTCACCTTCCATTACATCATTTAGAATATAGATACAATAAGTTTTATAGTTAAGTTTACATTTTAGTACCTTTATAGGAAGCGGCATTAGATAACACTTTGCTGTGACGAACTTGCACATCAACCTTCGACCAATAGGGTTAAAAAATAGGGTCTGTCTAGGAGCGCGGTGGGATCAAGAGGGAAGGGTGGGAGCTTTTTTTTTTGAGTGTGTATGCTGTTGGTCGCAGATAGGGTTACCATCTGTTCGGATTTGTCCCGACTTTTTGCCTTTTGTCCGGCTTTTTTTAATTAGATGGAATATGAGTAAAACTACTTATTAAGTTATATCAAATAATCCTTATTAAGTTCTCATTCTTTAAAACAAAATAAAAATTATCTTTAAAAATCAACAACGAGAATCCCCCTCGCGATACCAGCGTCTGCTACCACGCGTATAATATCACTGTAACTAAGTGGGTGATGTTTGCATTTTGTGACTAAAATGTCCGGACTTTTATCGAAATGTCCGGCTTTTTGTCAGGACTTTTATAATTTTGTAAATAGTAACTTTAATCGCAGATGACCTTTACAGCGTCGCCGGGTCTGGGGACGGCGAGATCCTAAGGGGACCTCAAGCCGAGAAGAAAAAGACCTCAAGGCGAGTGCCTCTAGAGGTATTCCAGGCGGATGGCATCTCCCCACGGGGGGAGTCTTCTCTCCGTCTGGAGCCTCTAGACCACTCGCACCTGAGGGGGTCGGCTCAACTAGAGGGCGTCTCTGAGGCTCGGACCTCGGCTCTAGTTAGCCGTTGTCGTGTGGTGCTTACTCGAAGCGAACGCGTAGTACTTCCATGTGCTTTACTCACACACAGCCTCGCTCAAGATCCGACAGCGAAACGAAATTTCATTTTTTAACTTCAAATCTTGCCTGTTATTTTGATCTTGAATGACAAAATATAAGTCCTTTATAAGACTGTCATACCGTAAATACTTATGTGTTTACATTCCATATTGAACCTTATAAAACTGATAACGGCTCGAAGGACCAAAAAGTAATTACATTATTTTACAATAAAAATACTTGATTCATGTAAATGTAATGTTAAAATATAGCATATCCATACGCCGTCCAATACCGTGTATTATATCTGGAGGGCAAGCGCAAAATATATGTGGTTTGCCTTAATATTGAACTATAGATGTATACATTTCAACACATTAATTATAAAGCTTTACTCCGTTCTCCCAATTTCACCAGTTAGTACTACCTACACCAGTTCTATTTCGAAAAATAACCATCTTACTTATCATAGAGGTGATAAATAAACATTTTTAATAATATAATAAAATTTGTGTTTATTTAAATATAGTAGTGGATCTTAGAAAATATTTCTGTTAACTAAGAACAACAAAACAAACTAAATATTATATTGATATCATAAGAATAAGCTTTGATAAAACTAAGTATTTTGCCGTATAAAAAGAGCATAGACCGCAATCTATTCGAAACCATTGTTTCACCAGAAATTAGATAAATTCTAAAATATTGATTACAGTAAGGCTCAATATAGGCCTTCATTGCCAGAAGTTGCAACTTTAAAACTAGCTGGCAATTCAAATTCAGCCTTAGGCAGGGGACTCGCAGAAAAGAGGTCAGACCCAAACTGGGCCCGAACATAATATGTATCTTCCGTGTCCTTTTCAAACAAAACGTTTAGAAGCGTCGCGTCGCAGAATATATAGAAAAGCAGAACAGCGATACAACCGTTCTTAATTTTGTATGAAACTGACACCCCCCTATCAACAAACAAGGAATAAGCTCAAACTAGTTACGCCGTGTTTTGTTCGTGTCGCTCAAATGCCTCATATCATTCAATAGAAGAGGCAAAACATGGAGTAACTAATCCAAGCGTAGTTTTCGTTTATTAATAAGGAGGACAAAGTCCGTGTCCCGTCTGCGTCTTACGTCTTTTTAGTGTGTCCCACGCCTAATGCTCATAATAATATTCGCAACGTTATTACATTTCTTCGAATAATTCTCTATAGACGAAAATTATTCCATTCTTCCGTTATAAAATAGATTTCCAGACTCCTTATCTCTGGTAACTGCCCCTTTGGTAGGTACTGACTTTTATTTATATAATATTAAAATCTATAATCATAGCTAACAAATAATAACAAAAGTACATTATCTATGTGTTACGAAAAAAAAGACAAAAAAGTACAGTTATAAGCCGTGCCAACGATTGAAACGATTCGAAAATGGCGTCTATGACCCTACCATCTGTCAGTGCAGGTACACTGACAGATGGTAGGGTCAACAAATAAGAAAAGAAAACAGAGCGCGTCGAGATAGTGCGAGAACAAAGTCAGAACTGATATTTTTTTTGCATGCAGTACGCGCCGTGTGCGACTAAAGACAGCAATAGTTTAGAGTGAGAGCGCATGTTCGCCGCCGCCATTTTTGATTCGTTTCTTTATTGGCGCGCCTTATACAATATTCCAATCCAATAAAATGTTAACCCTCCCTACTTTTCGTTTAAGAAGTTTATCTTAATCAAAACATTGGAAGTAAAAATTCTATAAAATTGGTCACTCTAAATACGTTGATATGAGATGGTACAGTATTTTAATAAAATACGCTTTTTCAAAATATAGAATACATTAATAGCAGCGGTAATGGCAACTACTATCATTTTACGCGCCAATGAGCTCTATGCGATTTATACAGAAGCCATTATTGTTTAATGCTTCATATTCTAAACAAGCTTCTGTACGATAGATAAACAGTCGTAAAATTTATAAGTAAATTTACCATGGACCAGTAATAAACTTATATTAAAATTAGATTATATTGTTACTCAAACGTCAAGTTACTGCTTCTTTCGGAGAAGAAGCTATAATAAATAGGACGTTTTTTTTTAAATCCAGTGTTAACCTTGGTGTCTTTAATAATCACATTATCAGCCAGACAAATTATGATGATATTTCTGTATCTACGGAACACTTTTCTCTACTCCACCTAAATACTGGTATTCCATTAGTTCTACGAGTCTTTGCAGGACAAAAAAAAATTTTTTTTTTTATATTTGTACTCTTGGCGTAAATAATTGAAAACAACGGAAACTATACATAGTATAGTACCTAGTTCTATAGACAGTCGTGACACTAAACAGATTTTCCCATTGTTCTATTTATTAAACTTCTAGCAAGTTTCTCTAGGTGGAATAGACATTCACTTTTCATTGGACGTTGCAGTGTTGCAGATTCTTTTTTGTCCTGTTACGAGGTAACTCTTCCGAACCAAGCTCATCTCAATATTTCGGATATTTTTAATTACTCACCATACCCAATAATAAAACTTTAATAATATTTAAATGTACCTTATCTTAGTTTTTGTTAAATTACATTCCAAAATAGGGACGAGTTTGATTCGGGCGAGGTTCCACCAAATCGCAAATTATTAAATATATATATACGAGTATTAACTAGTTTAGGCTAAGAACTCACGGATCGAATAACACCCGCACCTGTAACTCTCATAGAATGTAAGATTGTAAATAGGTAATGCACATTAACAATTTCACGACGCCATTTTACCCGCTCGCCGCGGTAGTACAACTCGCGCCAAACTTCTAGTACGCTCAAGTTGCTTCGTGCTGATGTACAGTGCTATAAACAATCTTCGTCCCTCTTTAAATGTGTATAGCGTAACTGCGACGCGAATTGTGCAGTGTTTAAAGCGGACTAGAAGATTGGCGCGATCTATACCTATGCGGCAGTGGCTGGTGGGCTTCGCCGGCGCCTTCTGTGATTGGTTGCTGGGGACTCGACTCAACAATTATGTGATTGCAGAGGAGTCAATTGGTTTCTCTGTGTGAACGAATCAGAAATGAGATCCACAGGAGAACGTAGGTAGCTTCGCCAACATAGCCTAAAAATGACGAGCTTTAAATGGTAGGATTATTTATTGATACAGCGTTGGTAGGACCCCTACAAAATGGCCCGACGATCTAGTGAAGGTGCAGAAACCAGCTGCCTTTGTTCAGCAGCGGGCATCTCTAGGCTGATATGAGCAGTGGAGGAATTTGCGATCTACTCCCACCAAGTTTGCGGATGTCCGCGTAAGCGCGGCGCCTTCGGGAGCGCGAAAAACTGCTGTCCCGTGAGTCTAGATGGAGCTTTCCCACCACCGCGGCTAGTGCGGGTAAAAACCGCTCCATGAGTTCTTAGCCTTACGCAACAGTTGCAGCAGCCGTCATCGCAGATTAGGGTAACTGTACAAGTCCTTAAAACCTAAACTATACGCGTAGTGTAACGTGAGTGTTTCACATCTCGTCAGTGAGGCCGTTGACGGTGCCGCTGGTGGAGGCGCGCTGGGCCGGCGAGCTGCCTAGACTGCCGTAGGTGCGGCCGCCGCGCCGCATCCGCCAACGCCCTCGACGACGGGTTATGCCTACGACACAACCCCGCTTATGTTACGATCCACTTACGTATGCAACATATTGCAAGTGGTGGTGTGTGCAAAAGCTTTACGATTATCACTCGTGAAATGATACAACATTGTAATGTTAAACTACATCATCAACATTATGAAACGAGACAAACATACACCGCCTTATTACACAAAGCGGACTAAAGCTGCTGTTTTTGCCTTCTTTTTAGCAACAATGGTGACAATGGTGTCGATTCTATCATGATATGATTCTCCAACATTAGACTTAAATTTGATAACGGTGTCCTTATCATTCTCTCTCTATGCAGATTGAAAGGGAGAGACTAGTGTTAAATTTATTGTTATGGTTAGAAAATCATGCCAAAGTCGACACGAGTGTCATTTTACATTATCTTGATTTGGCAAACAAAAAGGTTTCTTTTTGTTATGTTTTCCAAATAAAGATATTTTTAGGCCGGGTTTATCTTTAGTCAACGTTTTGGAATAAGGGAGTAAGTACCTCCACGAGCGAGAGAGCGGCGGCGATATTATCATTATATTACGTATTTCCATACATTTTTATAGAACGTCTTTAAGGCGCTTTGCAGACGACGGGGCGGGGCGGGCCGGTCAATTTCGCCGCGAACGATAGCACAAAGTGAATCCTATATTACAAACGCACACAGAGGGCAAAAAGACCGCGCCTTGGGTGCCCGGCGGGCACTGGCGGCGCGGCATGTCCGCGGCTGCCCGCCGTGGATCATACAAACCAGTTTATATGCAGTAACGCAGAGGGCGGCGCGGGGCGGTCAGCTCAGTCCGCGCCACGCGCTTTTTAGTGACGGACTATTCACTAGAACGAACGTCCTGAACTGACCGCCTCTGCCCGTCGTGTGCTTTGTGTACGCAGCGCGGGCAGCCGCAGACATCGACGGGCAGACGTGGTCTTTATTGCTTCGCGGACAAAAAGCCCGCCCCGCCCCGTCGTCTGCTAAACACCTAAATAGCTATGTTACGGAGGACAGTAGCGTGGAGTCTGTTCGTAATAAGACCAGTTACACTGCTGTCGCATCTTGGGTGGAAGGGGATGACCCTTAATATATACTTCACTTGAAATCCCCACCCTAGATTACACCTGCGGCATGAATGTGAGTAGTTGGTCTAAACCATCTCGCGCCTATTACTACTCATTTCTTACTGAAACCTCTTGTTAACGGCCGCTGTTTCAATGCACACCGGGCTGTGCAATATGCTTGTATTTGTCTAGCAACGCAACGATAAGAAAGACAATATCGCACGCGCCTGATGTCCGGTGAAACAACGGCTGTTAATACGAGTCTTCAGACAACGCTCGTCATTCCGTAGCGAGTCACATTGATACGCTGACGGTATAATGGGGGTGTTCAGGAAAACTCACGTCACCAGTTGGCGCCACTGTGGCATAAGCGTATGAACTTTTGGCGCGAATTAATCGAACGAGCATTGCAATTTATCTATGGACCATGGAGATTAGAGAGAAGGAAAACGATCGCTACGTACTTAAGCATTAGCCCGCCTGACCCTGAAAATTTGTATAATTTATAGTTCATTTTTCAGCCACCAGCCGCGCTGCCGTCGGTAAGTAGTATCTGTGAACTTAGCTGTTTATGAGTACAAGTAGACGAAGTTAGTTGAATATTGTACAAATTTTCTTCGCAGCATTGGTCATTTGAAATTAGCCCGCTTTTATTGAGACAACATAGCGATCGCAGCGCCTCAATTATTTTGTCCATATTTCTGAGACACTATTTTCTATAGCGTTCTCCTTCTCGTTAACCTCCATGCTACAGACTTGGCGCATAAGTGATTTGACGGATGAATAGACCTTTCAGCTCAGTACTGCCACCTGCTGCCCGGCATTTCTTACTGAAGACTACCCGATTATAGAAGCATAATCGGCGCGGACTCATCCCGATACTCTCGCTTGTGGACGTGGCGCCTTACATTTAAACAGCAATCGCTACGTTAAGATGAACACATAAAAAGGGATAAATGGAAAGCACGTCAATATAGATACATATAATACCAATGGTATAAGGTTATCGTCCGGAAGACATTTTTGACAAATTATTTAGTTGTTCTTAATGTTGATGATGTTAATAATTTTCATGTAACAGAATATAATATATTTAACAGAATTGTATAAGTATATTAAATGCTTACTTTAAGGGTTTTCCAATTTATAACTAATAGGTTAGTTTGTTTAAAAGTAAGGACTTCGTCTTACTTTATTAATAAAATAACCTATGTTATAAACATTTCAAGAGTGAAAACCGCATAATTTATAGCAAAAGGGGAATGAGCAAGGAACCATGCATGATCATGTAAGTATACAAATATTTACAGAACCACTGAACAGCTATTCGCATCGTGTGATTTAAACCTTAGAAAGGATTTAACAGAATAACGAATCAAGAAAGTGCTGCAATTTAATAAGATCTTTTTAAGTTAAAAAATGTACAGTCATGCGATAAAAGCGGCAATGATAAGTACTAATTTCTTTCACATTAAAAACTTGTTGTTATTGAATTAATTACAGGGATTTACATTAAAGATTTTTTAATCTATCCATACGAAATTATTAAAATTTTATCAATTTATCAGCATATTCTTCCGATTATATTTCTATTGCTATCGGCACTTTTAAGTATGATTTACTATGGTATGTATAATTTTAATGATAAACTATAATATACGGCACATAGGTACTATCGAACAAATTGATTCCTAACCCACTAGCCCGATATTTCGCTTAAAAATGTCAAAACAGTCAAGTTTTCTTTTTTAAAGAATGCGTTCTTTTATAAAGAAAGTTACACTTAGGGTGTTCTAATAACAAGGACGGTGTAATATGGAACAAAAAAAAATTTAATTTTACGTTTGTTTACAATGCATTAGATAATTTTTAAGACAAAATTCGAATTCTAATTTGTATTTCAAAATAACTTTCAAAATCGTGGATAACACACTTCCAATTTCTTGAAAAACTTTGGTGAACTAAGGGAAACCGTAAGTCCATGGACATGACTCCATAGAACGTTACGTCAACATTATGACACCGGCAGGCAGCAAATTCAAACCCGTAAATTATAATTGTTCTGAAAATAACAAGTTTGTTTCCAGGTATACGTACGTACCATGTATGGGAAAGTCTACCTTAATGTTTTGCAATAGATGTAATGGGAGTGGATCAGGATTCAGGAATCAATTGGCTGATAGTACATACTTATCATAGCATTAACAATTACCCAATAATTATTTGATAACTGGATAATCATATTCAAATCTACAAAGGTGAAGCTTTGGCAAGACGTCACGTTTTTTTCTAAGTGAACTTTAAGTTATACTGTGCACTTTTAGGATAAAAAAAAACGGTTTATTAATTAGGTTTGTGTTTCATATTAGCAGCGCAGAGCTTACTCTTGAAAAACAGAACCAATTGGGATCGTGTTAGCAAATCAAAGGCATTTTAAGAAACTTTTGTGTAAAAGCGATAAATTGCTTTTATGAACACCGTACCGATATCTGAATATGAAGTATATCTGAAGTGGGGATAAGAAGAAATTACGTTTAATTTTCTTAAATATGTTCGATCGATAACCGTGTCACTACTTGTATGATTTTATTTTAAATGTATTATTGTTTATTTATTTAGACATAGCTGGATACAGACTGTTATCACAAAATATGTAGTACAGAATGTAATCTGAACACAAAGTGCGCTCGAGCAACGCACACACAGCACCGACACCGCTCACGAACACTATATCTCAGAACAGTCAAGACCACTGCGAGCGCGAGTTCCATCCGCTTTAGATACGCGTCTGTGAACTATTTTGTGCAAAACTGGAGCACCAAAAAAGCAAGTTAATTTGTCTGTTTAGTAGAAGATTGTTTAAATTCAAAATTAAACGGTGAATTGCCGTTTTTTATTTTTTAATATAACACTAACGTTTTGTTTTAGTTTGAGTTATTATAATGTTTATATTTCCGTTCTTTCTGTTTCCTTCTCGACAATAAATCAAACAACTAAATACGAGTGCCACTACCACGAAAGTTTTTTGTGCATGAGCCAATGTTGACAATCTTAGCGCGACCGCCTGACGTGACGTACCGCCGCGTAGGTAGGCAAAATTAAGTACATACATGAGATTACCTTCTGTACTTCCTATTTTGTGCTGTTATCAAGAGTAAGGTCCCCGTTATAACGGCCGATTGTGTCACACGACTCACGATTGTGAACAAACCATTTTTTTATCCTTCCCGTTGTGCACAAACTCCTACGTGACTGTGATCTGTTAATAAATATTAATATCACTAATGCATAATATTGTGATTTCATAAATTTGTATCCTTACTTCCGCCTGAGTTGGACTGAGAAGCTCCTTATACCAGCAAAAGGAAAAATATATATTATTATTATTAGTACCTGTTTTCATTTACCTCCCGCTCTATATTAAATGGTTGTACATTGGACCTTTATTACTTCATATTTAAAGTTGTTAATGATGATTGCATAATGGTGATTAACGGTGGCTGAATGCGGTGATAACGCATGCGTTTAAAAATGCATACCTTAACTTTGTTCGGTGCTCATACATAGGTGCTCTACAACTAAAAAATAAAACGAAACGAAATTAAAAAAACATAATTTTATTTCTATTACAATTATACTATTTAATTGCCGTCGGTACACACATGATACTGTTAAGCCCTTACCTTTGATCGATTAATTATTAAAAAAAAAACTATTTCCCCTCTAAATTAAGTACTAACTTTAAGTAGAGATTCCAGTGTTGTAAAATTGATTTATAAAACTATTATAATTCTCATTCTTTACAAATCATACTATTGGTTATTATGTTGTACAATTTCACTAAAATAACACAATTAAATTGCATTAAGATATTTATATCATCTTCAATAGGAACATAGGGGGTGCCGTTAAACATTAAAAAATCTCTTTGGGAATCACAAAGATT